ATTGTTCGTCATATAAGTCAAACAAACTCTACACAAATAGTCTCAAAGCTCCACTAAAAGAAACACAATTCTTTGCTCAATAATCTCTCGAGGAAAATAAGTGAGAATGTAAGGAGGAAAGCTAAAAGAATTGTGATTGTTGTAGTAGTGATGAATGATCGAGGAATGGTCCCATTTATAGGTAAAAATAGGCTTCCCAAAATAAAGAGGTGTCGTAAACACACGAACTTTTTAACTTTTCATTTTCCAAACGTCCAACCTCTTCACTTTCTTAACTTCCAAAACTTACAAACCTATTAAAAGAAAATATAATGAATCAATTTTAATATTAAAATGCACCAACATACCCTGTCACGCCCCCAAATTAACATTGATATCTATACACAACCTAGATATAGAGTTTTACATATATATTTTTTTCGAGTTTGTTAACTTCTAATCACCTGTGACACGATCATATAACATATCGAAACCTAAAATCATATCGCCATAATTCGATATATATATTCTGAGCTTATAAACATATCTACAGGCCATTTCAAAAGTACACTATATAAGATTCCAAAATATAACCCTACAGATGGCAACCTACAAAATAACCCTACAGGTCGTCATCCATGTACATCAAACTCTGGAATCCTGTAGGAGCTCCACAGCTAGCCATGCTCTCTATGTAGTTCCATGCTCACCTACAATGCAAGAACTACATAAGCCAATGCTTAGTAAGCAAAATCATGCATGTCCTGAACATAAGTAATAATGACATATGACACCATGCCATTTACTTTAAATATCACGACAAAAAGTATCATATTTCAATAATTGTCAAAGTCGACTAGAAATCATTTCACTTCAAATCTTTCATTTCTTGGGCCCTTGACCCACCTACTATGCACCGGATAGAACTCTGCATAATATCAATAATAATAATCAAATGGCCAATATGAAATCGACGCCGACAAGTGGACCATCCTCTCGTGACCACTAGAGGCCCATCCCCTGACTACCCCTATGATCACCCAAGAAGTCTTCCACCCGGCAACGCCAATAATTATAATATCACAAGGGCACGGTCGAGTGGTCCGCCCTCCTGTGATCACCAAAGGCCCATCCCCTGTCTACCTTTGCAATCACCCAAGAAGTAACACCCGCAATGCCAAACATATCACATAAGCATGTCTCACATGCCTCGATGCCCTAGTAGTGGTCAATAAAACATTTATAATGAAACTCACTTTGAAATCATGTTTTGCATGCAGGATTTTCAACCATGTCACATGTCATGCATGCATATGAAAATGCTCATAAATGACGTATTTAATGGAAATCGATGTCAATAGGTTACGCAACCTCATACTCAATGATCGTAACCACCATATGATGTGCTATAAGCCTCTTATCAAAGTTATGTAGATATTTCAACATTACTATGTCACATATACTAGGTTCTCGCATCGTAGTTGCAAATGGATTTTCACTTACCTTTCACCTTTGTGTGTGCAAGCTCCTATGGAGATTAGATCAATATCCTTTTTGACTCGAAGTCAGAAAATCGCCTGTATTACCGTTTAATATTAAAGAGAACCCTCAATTTAATAACCTTCAAGCAACAAATCCCAAAATACATCCATTCTCACCAAAATAATTTAGACAGAATCATCATTTCAAGATACCGATGGCATTACAAACTTATCCCATAAATCTCTCTATTTCTCGAGTCAAATTATGAACGTCAACATCATCCAATTATTGTTGACAAACTAGTACCCTCAGAATCTATTTTCTAGGCCCAAGAGATGATTAATGTACATGTAAAGGTTGAAATCATATTAAACACACTGGACAGAATCTGTTTTCAGATTTCCCTTACCATCCAATTATTTTTTCAATCCCTTTTCACCCCCTTATCTATATCCAATTACTCCGAAATTTTTACCACATTTCTATAACATGTATATGAAGGTAATCATTCTCTAAAGTAGTGACAAGTAAAGTGTTCTCAGCCGCCAAAATAGTCCATTTCCACAACACTAAAATCAGACAGTTTTCCATTGTGACAGTTTTCGATTTCAATTTTATTAGCATGTTACCAATTGGATTTCAAGCTATTAGAAGACCATTTATATCCTTATAACTATCATGTAAAAACATTCATTAACATAGATACAAGTTATATCTTAAGTATTATCCAAAATCAAAGTTTAAACCACTTAACTCTAGCAACTCCACATCACTGCACAGATTGCTTTCTTTCAAATTCTTGTAACTAATTACCCCTATTTTTGGCATCATGAAATCATTAAGAACATTCTAACCTAATCAAAAGCAAGTTCATATGTTCAAGAAATTATAAACCCCTCAAGAAATAATGGATACAAACCTCAAAACTGTGAAGTAACTTGGCTGTCCAGAAATTCGAGCTTGCTGTTTCTATTTCTCTTTGGTTCTTTCACTCTCTTTTTCACTTGGAATCACTTAGATACGAGATAATGGAGTTAAAATATTATCTAGGAGGTAGATAAGTGGTCTTTAAATAGTTAAGATCGTGCTTATTGCTTAAGGATTAAGGAATTTATGGGCTAAAGCCACATCAAGCCATCAAGGTGAGTCACTAAGCAGGTGGTGGCTTCTTGCTGCAATATTTGACCTTTCTCCCACTATATTTGGATTTTTTTGAGCCTTATAAGATATATACATCCCTCCAACACGAGATCATGTCTTAAGGTTAAAGAAATTGAGTGTTAAAATGTTAAAATACCCCAAGCATGAGGTGTCTTCATGGCAGCAATACTTGACTTTCAACCATTATATTTAGATTCATTTGTGACTTTTAAAATATATATATCTATCCTATATTAAGTGTTTAGGGAGTATACACCAGATTGATGCCTTAAGGTTGAAGGAATTGAGTGCTAAAATGACAAACATCCCAAGCGCGAGGTGTTCAAGCATGAGATGGTCACGTGTAGCAAAAATCTGATTTTATATCTATCTTTGCAGGCACAAACCAAGTATCCTCGGCTTATTTTGACGTGTTTACAATCCATTTCACTTGTCCTAAGATCCCAAAGTATTTCATAGAACTAATTCCTCAACTGTTCATTTAATTACTTACCCGATTGATACACGATTCTCGATTGATTTCCACAATTCGCACCTCAATATTTATAACGTCATATGAGACATATATTATCGCGTCATGATCATGACCCTTTATGTCTCATGTCCCAAATATGTCAATTACCTATCTAGGGTTTAATGTGACCTCGAACAACCGAATAGAAAGCTTGAACATTTGTTGATACTAATTCCCGACCTTTTCGATTTCCTTTACTTACCAAGCTAATCTTCAACATCTAGTTATATGTCAATTACCTATCTAGGGTTTAATGTGACCTCGAACAACCGAATAGAAAGCTTGAACATTTGTTGATACTAATTCCCGACCTTTTCGATTTCCTTTACTTACCAAGCTAATCTTCAACATCTAGTTAACCCAATTTTCTATCATAACTCAATGTAAAATTCACTACTTAGGTCGAGGAGTCAAAGATCATCACTATATAAAGATTTTAAAGCCTCGATGATCAAACACACATTTTTAAGAGAAAGTAATTAGGAAGTTGATGCAAATGACAATGTAATTAGCATGGAATGCATGAATCATATTGGCCAAATGTACAACGTGAAGTTCGGGGTATTACAATACTTCACTCCAAACTTCCACAACTCGAGAGTTCATATCTTTGTTCTGGTCCAGCCAAAAGTCAATGATTATAAACCTCCTAGGTTTTTCTGAAAATTTTGATCCTCATTATAAGGCCAACTCAATTTAAATGTAATCACAAAGCTCCCTAACACAATGTTCTAAAAAGCTAGTTCAAGTAGTGCCTAGACCTTAGACACGAGGCTCGGGTGAAATGCCACGCCTTGGCAATGAACGACTAGTGGCGCTTTATTAATTTATTAATTTTTTATTTTTTCCTTTTTTTAAAAGCCTTTTATTTGACTTTAGTTCAAAATTTAAATGACTTTATCTGTACAAAAGTAAAATATGAAAACACGTTAGAAAACTTTAAGTAGGAGATGTCAAATTAAAAATGGAAACTATGAAAAATAGTCCAACTTCTGCATTTTGAAAACTTGAAAACTATATAAATGATTAATTGTAAAAATTATTAAGTAAATATAGTATTTTATTTGTAGATATTTGGTATTTATTATTTTAATTATTAAATAAGTTTTAGAATGATAAAAAATATAAAATATTTTTTAATATAAACTACTTTTTTAAGCATATGCTCGTCCAGACTTGTAAGCTTGAAACTTGGACTTCAAGCCTAACCACTCTTTACATTTTTCAAACACTGCTTTGACGTGAAACATCCAATATCTCCTTTCTCGTCAACAAACTTTCACATATATGCTACTAGAGCCACTCATTGGATTAGACAACAACAGTTTAGAGTCTTGCGTTATTTCAAATGCACCTTGAATCATAGTATGTTCATTCGACTTTCTGGGTGTCCAGACCCCTACAAGTGAACAGAAAAAGGGAGGAGGAAAGAGACCTCAGTGAACCCCCATCTTCAGATTCGAGCATTTGCTAATGCCAAATGTAAAAGGCAATGCATTCTTCTCATTCTCAACCGAAGTTAAATATCAGGCCATTTCTTATGGTTACTGTCGCATAAGCCAATTGGCATCAACTTTCACTTTGTCAACGATCAAGTCGTCGAGAAATACTAAAAAAATATGTATTTTGAAATAGTGATTTTTTCAAAAATGAATGGATAAAAAGCACCCAGAAAAAAAATAATAAAATAAAATTGGGTGATGTGGAATACATTTTATTGTGAGAATGTGATTAAAAATGAATTTGGAAAAAAGAACTAAAGAACTAATTTTAATTTAATGATCGTCAAACAAGGCTTAATAATTTGCTTCGAACATCACATAAATGTTTCGTCCGTCATCTCGTCTTTACCTCTACAAGATGGATTATAAATACATTCTTCTTGACATAAAAATCCAACTACAACCTTTCTACTAGATATATAGATCATTATGAGAATAGTGAATCTAGTAGCGTTACAAATCATAAATTCAACATTGGATAATTGGATTTGACAAGTAAAAAGAACACCTAATAAATGGTCGTCATGATCGACATTCCTCCATCTCTTCGTCCCAATGGAACTTCCCAGTATGCCAACATTAGTCTCTTACAACACAACCCATAAGAAGTGTGTTGTTATTTGACAGTAATCGAGAGACTATGAGCAATAGAAAACAAAATTGATAATTCAAAAAAGTCATATTTTCTCATGAAACTTCATCTAAAGGATGAAAACTAGAGAAACAAAAAGGCATCACCCAGTCATTAACTTCAATTTTGACAAAACTTTGACTTCAAAATGATAAATTAGAGAAGAGAAAAAAACTCTTCAATCAGATTCATTGTGCGTGATCTCCGAAGATGCTTTGGACGAATGAGGTCGAGAATCAGACCGTCCAGGCATATCTCCAAGATCTCTCGTGTTTGAATCCTGATTTCTGTGGTTCGTATCACCTTTCCTGATCCAATCTGTAAACTTCGATGATTCAGAGGAAGATGTTTCAGATAACGCTACAAGCGATGGTGTTTTCTGATAAGAAAGCCAAGGCGAATGAATTATGGGTGGAGAAGGTAGAGTGGAGGAGTATCCTTCCATGGGGTGGTCAAATTTACAAGAAGGGCCATATTTGCAAAGTCCATAAAGAGTGTAATATTCACATACAGGTTGACCCTGCATTTGAACAAAAAAAATATCAATCAACCACAAGAAAAGCGAATACTAATGATCAACAATATTCGTCGACTTTCTCCAAATAAAGAATATTTATGGGTTTCCTCATTATCTAATATATTTTAGTTAGCAAACGGGTTCTTCCATCAATAATTTTCCTGGCCACAAACCGAAACCCATGCCCCACCCCGGTTTCCAACACACTCGCACATGCTGTCTCTGCTTTGTTTATTTTTGGGGGGGGCTTGTATATTAGGTTTCACTAAAGCTGATCCCTGTATCCATAAAGAAAAATCATGATTCTCAAAATGATTGGAGAGGGTTCGAAGTAATTGAATGTCATTTGAAGTGAAAGGAACGAGATGAATAAACAGTAATATGTCTCCATCATCTAAGTTTAGCACACATTTACCTTGCTTTTCCTTCAGATCCGAACACAGGAAAAAGATCTTTCTCAATGTCTATCTCACAAGAGTCCCGGATCAAACATAAATCTTGATTTCTTGGCATGATCAAACCAATGAGCTAACCACAAGCTCAACCCATAGACATACCATTGCAACATAATCCAAGTATTGTAACCACAATCTTATCAGTTATCAACCGGAAATTTCTAGCCACAATCTTATATCTGTTATCAACCGTATAAAATGACATAATCACAAGAAAAAGGTACCTTCTACATATTTTCCCTGTATAAATAATCAAAAGCAGAAACAAGTCTTTAATCTTTATATATATCAAGCAATATTTTCAAATGGTGGCATATCAAAACACCATTGTAGCTACTGGTACTTCCATGTCAAAGTGTTGATATAAAACTTATTCTGTATAAAACTAGTTCACTTAGTCCCTGTATGACCCCAATTTTTTAAAACTTTTTTTTTCCCCGAACTTATTTTCAACCACACCTTTATGGGACCAACAACTTTTATTTTTCAACTACACATTTCATCCACTTTATCAAATTTACTAAGAATTTGATTTTTAGTCAAACCAAATAGGGCCTTAAAAACCTCCAAGGTTAACACATTGCTTATCTCATTATTCCGAAGTCCTGAAGAGGCTCAAATTACAAAATAAACTATTCCACAGAAACTTCAACTGTACAATGCTGTAAATTATTCAAGATGGGCAAGCTGGACACTCCAGCTAGGAATCAAATTTCTCCTTTTATTTTGCTCCTGAAAGTAATCTATCTCATTTAGAAACACCAAATCCCTAACAGAGGGTCGAGCTCTAAGAGGACTCAAAAGTCCTCCAGGTGATTATACGTTTATTTCCCTTTCATTTTTTTTCCTTTCCTACATAAGGTGACTAGACATTTATTTCCATTTTTGCTTTCTTCTATTGCCTTTTACCCTTCTCCATCCTAATCTGGAGCTTTATACTCCCTCCTCTAAAATACCCACAACCTCCGACTCTTATCCCTTTCCCAAACATTTCACCATCGTTGGTCAACTTCTCTTCACTAATATCCAATCCTGCTAATTCACCAAACCTAGATCCCACTTGTGATCGAATTTTTCTTCAAAAACAATGGAGGTGGAGGCATTGATGATCAGAATGGCATTTCTAAAGGTATCATAAGCTACGGTAGTATTCAGTGATGCAGTTAGGGAACTGCTTCAGGGAACGCGTGAGCTGTAGAGATTGTGTGCAGCTATGCGAGAACCAGTACGATGGGAAAGGGACTGCAGCTGTTCTCTGGAAAAAATGGTTTCAACATTTTTTGGTGAAAAATTATTTAATTATGTTGAACCTCCAAAAATTTTAGAAAAAAGGGTTACAGTCATGCACTCGGATTTTGTATTTTTTTTCCTGGCTTAAGTTATTTGACACCAACCTAAAAAACAAAAGATCGGCCAATTGTTAATCCCTCTGGGTGAGGGTGGTGCCATCTGCCACATAAAGGGATAGTCCTACCTAGAACAACCCACACAAGTCACCACTAGCTTTTGATCCGGGTAAGTCATGTTAACTGAATGTCAATTACTAGGAGGATGCTGTTGCCAGAAATCACATAATTTATCAAATATGCTTACTCAAACACAACATTATTATAATTTTACATAATGAAGTGTTTCCGTAAAAATATAAAATAAAAATGTTTATCTAATGAATTACAAAGAAGAAATGTTGTGCGAACGAAATTCATGGAGTAAATTGTGACATTTTTAGATGTGGCGTCAACATGGGAAAGTATAATTACATCATGTCCTTTAACTACAAATGTCTACTTAAGTGCTCTAACTGATTTGACTTTTACCGCAATAACTGAATTTGCAAGACAGCATTTTTATGATCTGAAGAAACTTAAAATCGTTGTTTTCAATCTAATTTGGCATTATAAACCCTTATTTTCATTTAAAATACAAGTCACCATAACTGCTGAAGATGAAGAGACATCCTAATGAATGAATCAACTTACAGGTCTTAAAGGGAGCCCAAGTGGCCCGATAAAATTTGATGCTGATTGTAAAATCTTTTCTCTAGGGTGATGATATTTGCAATCTGATCCATATTTACAGCTCCCATTGTTCATAAAGAACCGACATTCTGGTTGATCAGGTCTCTCTGGCAGATGAGATGCTGATAGCTGCCCACTAAAAACTGGCAGACCAAGCCCACTAGTTACATATACAGGGTTGATACCTCCCTAATTGTCAGAAAAAATGAACAAATGAATTAGCACTGCAACATAAAACATGAAAGGTACAAATACCATTGTTTCTAGTAGTAAACAAGCCAAAAACAACGACATACGATAAATTGAACTTGGACTAGATTACAATATCAAATTATCTATTTGATGTAAATATTTTATTGAACTAGAGTGCACTATCAAAGTATCCACTTGGTGTAAAATATTTCACCAGACACATTTTGTGATCTATACATGCTTTATCAAGGAAGCAGATATGCTGCAGCGGCTATTTCTGTAATAACATTTTTTAGTTTGCTGATTGATCAAATAAGATATATAGGATTAGAGAAGTGGTGGGAATCAGTGTGTCAAAATTCCGGCATCTGATCCTCAATGTAATGTATTAGTAGGACTTATCCTATGCTTGTAATTAATCCTTCTAGATCCGAAGTGAAATAATTTTAGCATGCAAGGGACGCATAGCAGTGTTGCTTACTACACACAACCACTATGTCCATAACTAGGTAGACCACACATTTCTGCCAATATGTGTCAATTTCTTAAATATAAAAGGGCCTTCTCAGAAAGTAAGACACAAATGATATTCAAAATATTGGAAAAGCCTTGTATTGCCAGCTTCAGTCCTATACCATCAATTGCTCTGTGTGGCTTGTTAAGTGAAGAGAAAATTCACCAAAACCATTAATTTTAAACGCAAGTTAATCATTCCCAAAATAGTTCCAAATAATGCATCCCTTGAATAATTTGCTCAGCAGGTACAAAATCCAAATCTGTAACATCAGGTGCAAATAATAACAATGTTGTCTTCAGGCTCAAATTTTTGTTATCTTTCCCATTGTTATAGGACAATAATTTCAGTTTTTTTTTTTTAATCCTTCCATGCTTGATGAAGAGAAATAATCTAACACTATCGAACACTTGAAACTAAGAAATGACGAGGAAATAAGTCACAGAGAAATCAAAACTGCATATAATATTGTCATCATGATGAGTTGTCAATACAGGGACCAAGCAGCAAACAATGGATATCAGCCTCTGAACTCTAGAGGTCGAGTTTTAAATTTAACATTATGGTATGCTGGGTTTGTGGGTACAATTTTCAAGATGTTTTGCATCTCTTTTCCTCTATTTCAGTAACATAAGATCAACAATGAGCAAATCAATTGGAGAGAATTATTATAGAGAAGTTGGCAGCCCACCAGTGGGAACCAGCAGCTGCAGCCAGCCACTGCTCTCAAGGACAATAATAACACGGATCCATTCTCAGCAGTCGCAGCAACCACAACCTTTGGCAGTGCCTTCTGCCACAACCAACCATGGCAAAGTGCCATCCACTGTTAGTGTAGTAGACTGTTGTGGCGGGAACACTTGGCTAGCCACAAAAGAGTTTATTTGTGGGGGACTTTGGCAATGACAAGTATTGCCAATGCTCAGAACTTCAAGCCAGAGCCCAAGAATATATTCCAGAAGTCTGGTTACAGGGTAGTATCCAATCACTTTTAATTATTTGGCGACGTGTTTGATGCTATGCACTTATAACGCAGGTTTGCAACATATTTTTTTCACATAAAAGTTGGCAGAAAGGTGTGTCAATTTATTGTTGATTCAAATAATTTAGAGAATGAATTTTCCAAGGAAACGGTACAGAAGTTGAGTTTCATTACCGCACGACATCCCAATCCTTTTAAGCTGGCATGGCTTAAGAAGGGAACAAAATTGGTGACTTATCAGTGAGAAGCATGCTCGCATCACTTTGTTTGTGCACGACATTGAGGTAACACATACAAAATCACTCTCAGTGGTACAAAAATTGTGATACTATCTAGCCAGGATAAGTTTAATACTCCACTTGCGAGGGTCATTGCCAATCTATCAATTCAAGCATTCTTCAAGCGCGAGATGGAGTCAAACATGGTTCTTTACCTTGTTTCGAAAGGTGAACCATTCATAAACTACTAATAGAATTTGCAAATATATTTCATGAGGAACATCTGAAAGGAATGTTTATGGGACAGATAATAAAATCACATCAACTTAGTCCTGAGTCTCCTGACCGACCACACTCCTGTATCACTCCCAACGAACAAAAAAGTTGAGGAGCTAGTTATCAGTTTGTCGGTGATAGGGCATCTTACACACTACCGTATATATGTTGAGAGCCATGTGATCAAACAAACTTACAATGTGTTACTGAGGGTCTGTTTGAGCCCCATTTTTTTTTAGAGAATAGGTTCTATAATAGTGATTTTCTTTTAGAATGTATGGTTAAAAAGTTGGAATTTTTTTGGATTTACGCGTAAGATTATCTTATTAGGAGAATATGTTGTTAAAACTAAGTTTAAGAACAAATGAGTTTTTATAAAATGGGGCTCAAACATGGGCTGATTTTGATACCGCTTTGGATGATTTATGGACACTAAGGCAAGGCCACATTGCTAAGTAAGGTGGACTTGAAGAGTTGTTGCCACCACATTCGAACCAGACAAGTGGAACGCCGCGTTTAAGTTGCGAGAAGTTGTTGCGAGAAGTTGATGCGAGTAATTAATGATGTCACTCTACTTGTCTAATACATCGAGCACATTCATGAGGGTGATGAATTAGACAATTGGGAACTACAACTCCTTATTGGTAGGATTATCATTAGATATCAAAGCCTCGCTTGAGTGGTAAGAGCTAAGCCTTACCATGTTTGAGTCTCATCTATTTGGAAGGGTAAAAAATAAAATTATATCATCATCGTCTATTTTGATGATATTATGATGTACGATGTTAATGCCCATGTCAATATTGTTATATTGTGAAAGACTTTAGTAGTTTAACGTCGTGATGGGTTTTAAAATGTGAACAATAAGAGTCCATTTAGCAAGACTTCTACTTCTACTTCTTGTAGAAGAGCCTCCTGAAGAAGCACGATGGCCGGCTCTGAAAGCTCTTTTAATAATGAAGAGTTCTATATAGTGCTCCAAGCAGTTAACACTTGTGCAATATTAATTGCAACAGGTACATCAATTTTCAAATCACAAGGCTCCAATTTACATCAGTGGACTAAAGAGCGTGTCAAAGAGCCATGTGCGAACAATAGCTTATCTGTAAGATTTTTAATTAATATAAAAGGCACAAAGCAAGGGTCTTGCATCAAGTGACAGACATGTCAAATCTTCGCCAAGATGCGGGTTGAAATGTCTAGTTTTGATTCGTTTGCCGAAAGTTCACGAGAAAATATGACTTAGGGAGCGTAGTGATTCTGTGCTTGATTAAGGGTTCGTTTTCTTAGGTATCTTCTATCAATGTATACATCACTATAATCTTTCTCACAAATTATTGATGTTTAGGATGCGACAGTACATAGGCCCTTATTTCTATGTCTTACTTTTACCATTGATGCAGAGGAAGGTTTAAAGGTATGTAGCACTCTGGGAAGTGTGTCATGTGGATAAAGGTAAGGTGAAAAATATCAGAGATGTGTTGCTAACGATTCCTACACATTCTTGACGTAAACATGGATTTTATCTAAAGAATAGCTAGAATGCAGTACAGCATTATCCTTGTGATTGTTGAGCATTTCTCAAAAATGGCACATTTAATTGTGTGAAAAGACGGTAGATGCATTGCATGGCCTCATTATATTTTCAAGAGGCATATTGTTTGCACAATGAGTCTCCTCTATTGTTACGGAAGATAGACTCAATTCCTTCATTAGGTGAATTCTATGGAAGTTGGTCAACACAAGTTTGACTTTTCATATACTTGTCACCCTTAGACACAAGTTGCTAATTGATAATTGGGCAATTTATTGCAATGTGAAGTTGGGGAAATTTAAAATTTAAGACCTCAAAATTAGCGTGTAAAATTTGCTCTTAATCATTTCGCTCATCATCGCACTAGTGCTACTACTAGTCATTTTCAGTAATCCATAGGCAATAGATGTAGCGTGGAAGCAATATTCATGTTGATTTACAAAGACAATAGTGAATTTAGGAAGATAAAGATAAATAAAGAGAGAGATAAAGTTTAGGCATTATATTAAAAGTAAAGTTTGATTCATAATTTATTATTTAGATTAGATTAGATTGAATTAGATTTTATTTGATTTGATGTTTCGATAATGTTCTAGATTAGGTAGAACTTGATTTGATTTGATATTCTTACAATTTCTTGCTCTATAAATAGAGAGGATTATTAGATTAAATAAACAACCAGATTATATGAATAAACATTGATTTCCTCTTGCCCTCAATTCTTCTCTTCTTTGCACCACTTTCTCTTCTGGTTTCTAATTGTTCATTAACAAGTTATACACATCCTGCGTCACTAATATTCGTTGATTCTTCACAGAGAATACCGAATTCTTATTTTGATCATAAAATCGTTAATTCTGATGAATGCCAATTTTAAAACCAGAAAATTGGAGAAAATCTCAACAATTAATCTCATTTCAATTCAAAAACAAGCTTCTCTGGCATTAATGCTACAATTTTTATTTATAACTAAAAAACCTAATAAACGATTAATCATAATAAATGAGTAACTCTAATTAATTACTAATCCTAATTAACAACTAACATCCAGATACCAACAAAAATTAAAAGACCTAATTGGAATTGAATTTCGAATTTATTTACTAAAGAAAATACTAACTACAAATAATAATTAAAAACTCAATTTTCATTCAATGTGCTCCAAACACCATTGGACTTACTAACTTTTCTCGTGTTGAAAAAGAGCATTTTTGGGGGCTAAACATAACAAGCTGCATCCTGAAAATATTAACCGTAGGTGAGAAGATCGACCTAAATACTTATCAGTTGAAGATTTTGAGTCACTTATATCTTGGATGGATATTATGCTAAGCACTTAGAATCATATCACAAAGATGAGATGATAGAGACAAGGAGAGCTATTCAAAGGCAAATCTTGGGTTACTCGACGAAACGATGCAATAGCTGGTATGATCTATACATTCGAAGCTCAACTAGACCTCCCTATGATGAGTCGAGCATCCCGATTGTGAGGGATTACAACTCGACCAATTCCCATATTATTCAGTCATACTTTGATTAATTTCATGCACTTTAATTAATGAGCTTGCTAGGGAAATTACATCATTTTCTTCATTATGTAAGACTTTGGTGTTTTCCTTTAAAGGAAAAACTCGAATTTTATGGTTAATTGGTTGTTTATTGAATAAAAGTTAAGATTGTTTCTGAATATTTGGCAAATTTTCAATATTCTTCATGAATCAATGAATATTTTATTCTCAAATCCCTCAATATTCCTAGAACCAACGAGTGTTTACAATATCATTCATTATATTATGCTTTTACTACATCAATCCCAAACCAACTTTGTACAATTGTACTGTATTTTGTATAGAGTAAAACTACAAAGGCTACCCACAAGGTTTCTAAAAAATACAAATACACTTCACTCTAGCATTTTAGAAAATTAGGTTAGCAAAGGGAAATAAACATTTCTCACTTCACCTTTTCATTTTGTGCTAGATAAAATACTCTTTTTATAATTATTTTTCTTTTTCTTAATTTTTTTTAGATAAGAGCATTCTTTCTAGTTTAATGAAATGAATTTTCCCTCTAAAATTTGCATGTTTTTTCATATTAATAATTTTGTAATAACTGATTTTATTTTAAAAAAGAACAAAATAAGATTAATAAAAAATATTATCTACAAAAAATAATAAAATAATAATTTAAGCTTTGGACTTTGAATGCTGAGTTAGCTCTTTATAATGTCTAAACTTAACAAAGTAAAGATATTATGAGTTTAAAAAATTTAAAAATTAAGGAAAATGATGCTAAATCAAGAGATAAAAAAAAATATAGCAAAATGTTAATTCTGCCACTTTTTAATGGACTAATTATGAGAGTGAAGTTCAGCATTTTAAAGGAAGAAAAGGAAAGGAAAAAACATATATTTTACTTTGTAGTGCCTCAAAATAGGATTGCATATAATTACAGTTGATCACATAATATTAAAACTTTTCGTCTTCATTTAATATATTTTTATTATCTTTATTAAAAACATTATGAAACAAGTAATAATGTTGATTAGTCACTTATTTGTGAATCATATTTGCAAAATTATATAACTTCATTAACAAATAAGTCATATTTATATAATTCAATACGATGTTTTATTTAGCTAAAAGAAATCCTATCATCTAAATGAAAGGTATAAAAAATAAATATTAAGAAAATGAAAGGAAAAATTATAGTTTAAGTATCATTTAGTAAAAATGTCAATCTAGTATAATGAAAAAGGGTAAATGGGAACTCTCTCCCTTTTTTTTTTTTTTTTTTTTTTTTTTTTTGGCTGACAAGCAATCTGTTATAAAAAAATCAAAACTTAGGGGATTTTTTTTTGTAATTTTCCGAAGAGATGGAGCGTCCCAGCAACCTCGAGTGGTAATTTGCTCTTTTCCATATATATGTGCGTTATGTTTTAAGTACACACTCTTAAAGTTCTCGAGTAAATTTTATATCCCAGGAACTCTCATGCTCAAGCTTACACTTTGTACTATGTAAGAAACAACATTGGGGAACTATAACAGGATATTTCCTCTTAGGTATCACTTTTGCATGTATCCATACAAAAGTAGAGCTGCTATTAACAAATCTACACACTCGACTTGGTGAGAAATGCTAAGTTATCAAGTTGTAGCTGATACATTCATGTGTTCAGAAAAGACACCAGTATGCAATGTTGTATTTCAGATAAGATAGAGAAAAACTCAAAACAGATCATAGAAAGAAACACGTGTTGATCTAGTATAATGGAAGGGATTAAAACAAGCTCCAACAATTCCCATTGAATAAAACTACATAAAACGGCACAAGACATTGTTGTACTGCATATTCATGAAAGATCTTCTCCGTAAGAAACAACCAGTGGTGTGCAAAATGTTTACTGCAAAAGATCAAATCAAACTTATTTTCAGATCAAAACACGTACCATGTACACATTCCATCCTTGCGCTGGTGATAGAACTACAGGCATAAAGCTTCGTTGGGATTGGAGGGAACTAGATCCATATGTTGGCTTCGATAATGATGATTCTGGAAGTTGACCGACAGAAGGGGCACCAGAGGAAGGCACAACTACAGAGCCACCTAAACCATAGACAATATGACCTGCTACAGGTACATTTGCAGCTGAAATGGGTTGAGGATGATGGAACTTGCACACATACCCATATTGACATAATCCAGTCTGCATATAATAAGGACATGGCTTTGCGTCCTGAATAACAGTCAATAATGATTAATTATAACCTTACTACAAGCATCCGTTCTCAGAAATATTTGGCTACTTGCATGTCACAAACTATTTTCTTATAGTTGCACCTTGAGAAGAATTGAAACACTGGGATGAAGAACCAGATTAAGAAAGCATAAGCACCTGACGCATTGGTAGCCCCAAACTATTGAATACAACTGATGAGTCACCACGCCTGTCCTTGGGATGATGATATTTACAAGTCATTCCATACTTGCAAGTACCTGTCTTAAGATAATACTGCAAAACAAAACAAATTAATTACAAGAGGCAGCACAACCGACTTACAAAAGAACCTATTTCAGTACGGCTGAAAAACATTTCCACACTGCTAATAACCAAAAACAACAGATTTAAGATGAGTATCAATAAATTAACTTCAACCTGTTCTCCACTGCTGATTTATGCTTTTAGCACTTCAATTGAATAGACAAGAAAAGAAATTTCGAGTGTATTAACCTCCAAGCATGGAAACCTCTACAGAACCCACTGTAAGCTTCTTCTAACTTAAAAGCCTATGATTTCACATAAGAAAGTATGCATACAGAACAGAATTAGAGTAAATTCCAAAACTAAATGATTTTTATAACGACTACAAGGTAAAATTACCCATCAGCAAAAGGACCATTGGATGAATGTCATAACAACACAAAACAATCAAACAGGTGGAGAGATCTACTGTCACCAATAAATCATTTCATGTCCATGCAGGCATGCAGTTTCACTCAGCATACCATCTATATTGATAACCTATGAAAGTTCTGGACATCATCTATAACAACTCTCAAATCATCTTCTACATACATATTTTCACCTTACAAAGTTTAACACGCACGGTGTCCAAGGAATTTTGGAGTGAAAGTCTAACAAAGCAATTTCTTGGATTTACATTTATCTTCTTCCATACGACTATAAGTATAATAAAATGAATTGTTCTTTCATCATTTAAATTATGAAAATTTATGTTATGAGTATGATGATACAAAAATCGAATTTATGATTATGATAAGCATCCTATATGTGTAAGTTCAAAAGACCGGAATTTAGTAGCGCTATGCACGGGAATTATAGCCACGAAATTCGGATTTTAATTCCCATGTCTTCATACGTATGTTATGATTTTTCATATTTAAATATGAGATGCAATTTGTTATTACTCATTTACTGAGATTTATGTCTCACATCTATATGTTAAATATTTTATAGGTAATTAAAATGGCAGGGTTCGAGGTGATATGAGGTGGGTTGCACTTGCATGGGTGAAAAATGAAGAATAACTTAAGTAGTTAAAGATTTTAATAATATTCATTGTATTTTTTAAAACTAATTTTAAATCCTCACATGTTCAGAAAATATTATGTTGTTCTTTGTTTATGAAAATATTCTTTTTGCGGTACATGTATAATGATTCCAAAGGTAAAAATTTGAATCGCTACATCATCTGAGTCAAAATCATTCACATTAAAATAAATCACCTATCGAACTCCAGAGAAGGAAAACATTTTATTATGTTCATGACAAAATTTACACATAGTTAGTCCTCTTTTTATTCCATGGTTCCAATATAACAAGCCTACTGAGTTACTTTCATTCAGTATTCATAGCAATTCGCAAGGGCAATCCATGTTTAGACAGATTGTTTACCATTTTCCACTAAATAACCAAAAGGAAACTTTATTACCTACTTCAATTTACAAGTCAATATTTCAAAGTCTCAATGCTGACAGATAATATTAAATGAACAGTACTAATTTTGTAATAACATAACTTTAAGACCGGTCCAGAGGAAATTGAGAAATAAAAACGCATTGCTTGGTATAAGAATGCAGATATTTTCATTATACACGAAACTGAAGACATTGAAACTTCTACTATTGTCAATTTAATTTTTACGTTTTATCTATACGTTCCGGTACAGGCTTTGTCTTGATGCGATATTTTTAGTTTTAGAAGTGGATCGCATCAGAGACATCCAAAATGAGATAACAACAGAGTAAATTATGAAACGAATAGGTTAAAATTAACATTGCTTAAGTTTAGCGAACTTTTACAAGATGTATGAATGGAATGGATGCGTGAAAATGGACTTGAGGAGTTGATACTGAATTTAGTCTAAATAAATAAAGTGTGCAGAATTTCATTTCATTGAATCATAGGCAGCAGAAAGTTTATCAAGTTTTCGACACACTTATCCAAAAAGGACATTGGTTGGTTATATTTAGATTGACTCAAAAATATATATTTTCGCACACCAAACTATGTGACAGTCTAAAACAATTAGCTAGCAAGCATACTTTCCATTTAAGTAGGGAAGAATAAATTACCCCACACTCCGGTTGTCCAACTCTTTCAGGAAGTTCACCTGTGCTTTGAACACTCTGTTCATAGTCATCAAGAACACAAAGAAAAAAAATGTTAAAACACATTCAAAATCTTCCTTTCACTTTATGAACTTTCAATAAATGATATATCATATCATCGAATAGCTATTTACTTGTCCTGAATTAGGCGGATGATTGAAACGACAATTGGTTCCATAACCACAAGTCCCTGTCCTTAAATAGTATATACAATCGGGTTCACCAGGTCGACCCGGGTATGAACCCGGACCCGTATCACCATTTTTATGCTCTCTGCTTTCTACCTTCAATGACTTCATAGCATCTACGACATATATAAATAAATGACAAACAAAAAAAAAATTTGAATCAATCATACTCATCAGTATTTCAACAAATGATCAAATTATGAAGAAAATACCTTCAACATTGCTCTGTAATTTTCGATGGTCCGGCATCTGTACGCAAATTTTAATGCATATAACACTGTACACAAAAATTGATCGATGAAAATTGCGATTGAAGATGAATGACGGGATAGTTAAAGCAAGAGTAAATCAGAATAAAGTAGAGTTCAGATTCACGCGAATTTTTGTGGGGGAAAAAATATTCAGGTGTGAATTTCGGTCTTAAATATTGAATGTTAAATTATTTAATTGTCCTCGTGTACGCGCAATAAATTACACTATCTGATGAAAAGGCAGATTTGCCCTCCAGATGAATGAAGTCAATTAGGAAGGCCCGAGGATTTTATCGTCTTTTCAGTTTATAATTTAATAACCTGCTATTAAATTTGGGCCACGGCGGGAAATACTGGGAATATATTATTTTAGTTTTGGTGTTTTTTATAATATAATAGTGTTAAATACCCTATCTATCCCTAAACTTTCACCCATATTTCAAAAGCGTCCCTGAACTTTAAATTGTTTTTAATTTGCTTGAACTTACAAATCTGATAAGGAAGGACAAAATAAAACGAGAAGCAAAATTGAAATATTTTAATTCCTATCCAGTGATTGCCTTGACCTCAACCTCGACCTGACCCTGCCTAACATACTAGAAAAATAATGAAGAAGGGATGGAGATGATTATCCTACTCCATTGTCACCCCTAATTCTAAATTTAGTTCACACATCATTCCATCCATTTGAATTGATGTCCCCCTAATCACCATGTTGGGTGTTGCAAATTGAGGGTGAATATATAAATAGAAGAAGTGATTATTTTTTGTCATTAGAAAAAGTTATAAAATATTCTTTTTTTTGTAAATAGTGTTATGTAGATCATATCAACGTAAAACACAATAAATAATTACGAAAAGGTGACAACAATAAACAAACGGATCTAATTGACACATTAGCATATGGAGTTTGTGTTGTCGTCATGTTAGATGGATGCGAATTAGGTTTGGAAGTTTAGAAGATGTATAGACTCTATCTGATTTGGTTTAAAATCATATTTTTAGTAAATTTTGATAAGAATTGATCTAATGTATGATTGAAAATTTGTAAATTTTATAAAATATGTAATTAAAAGTAAAAACATGTTTGTGCCCATTGTTACACCTCTCCAATGAAACTTGAGTTACTATCCTCATGGAATTTGTCAAGAGCAGTCCACGTCTTTTGATAGGAAACACCTAAAGCCCATGAAGAAAATGGTGCTTCGATCGAAGCATTGTACATTAATTCAAACTTGATCAATGAGAGGAAAACCTAATTGGCCGAAGCCCCTTTCATTGAAGCACCCCTAGCCCCATGTGCTTCGGACCAAAAACATTCCCAAAAAGATCCTTTTTGTGAGAATCTTGTGAAAGTTATTGATGTGACAATTTACAGCTCAAGCACATCTAATCATGTCAATATATTGACCAAAAGTGTAAATATGGACTACTGAGCAACTCTCCTCTTTCTCAAGAATAATCAAGTGCAATATAGGTCAAGTGGGCAATGAAAAATTTTATTACAGGACATCCAGATGGATCAGATGAAGCTACACGTGCTTCATTTAATGGTCATATTATCAAGTACCTTTTGTGTATCATTTAATGGGTAACGCAATTCTAAATATAAAAAGATATACAATTATTCTCTCTCTAATCTTGGCATAATATCCTTAGCTTGTTTCTACATATTCGTAAGATGTTTATCTCAAAAGGTTATGTTGTGTTTGACTAACCTTGGTGCTCAAACATTTTATTAGTTTGCATCCCAATGAGCGATTTTCTTTACACGTGGTAACGTGTAGATGAGAGTAAGGCCCTTCCTATTGGCTCTATTTCGTGGTCGATATCCTTGTTTTAAAATTATTTTTGTTATAGGATTTTTTTCAAATTCACATTTGCACAATAAAATATTTTGTATATAAATAAAAAAAATTATATTTTTTAACCACACATTCTCTTAAAAATACTATTAAAAACTCCTCTCTCTCTCTCTCTCTCTCTCTTTTTCAAATGAGGGCTAAGTTTGAAGAGAAATGAGTTTTGAAAATGAGGGTCAAATAGGTGTAGAAGAAATAATTTAAAGTTTAGGGACACAATTGAAACGTGGGTTGAAGTTCAAGGGACAGATGGTTCAATCCAATATTTAGGATTTTGGAAAATTGTGAAAAATCGCCGCCGTTGAAAAGGGCGTAAAGATTGTAGCGTGGAAGACAAGCACGCGGATCCGAACCGTCAAGCGTGGCTTTCTACGGCCATTGGATCATTAATTTGATAGGACCCACAAGGGACAAACATTTGGTTGGTCAACCAGTCCTATTCCTATATCATGTAAGATATGACCAGTAAGACAACATTGGCGGTCACCAACTTTATGCATAGTTACTGACACCGCATGTTTTATAAATATCATAATTAATAAAATAAAATAAAGATACAATTTAACCCTAGCTCGATTTCATTTTTTGGGAAATATAATATTTTGAATATTAATTTTTAGAAGAATGTGTGGTTAAAAAATAGAGAAAAAATTTAAATTTACTTACATAATATTTTATTATTCGAATATGTAATTAAAAATGATTGTAAAAAAATGAATTTTGTAATTTTATAAGTCATAATAAAAACATAAATACAAGTTGGACGTCATGTATATTTCGTATTATAATGCAACAGTAGTGGTGAAGTCAAACATTCTTCACTAAGAAATCAAAAATTGTATAACATTAATGAAAACGATTCAATGCCCATTACTATAAACATTGTATATGGGAGCATCGAGTATCAGTATTTCGGAAGTACTAAGAAATGACGTTGAAATTATAATGATCATTGAGATTTCTACCTTTTAGGTTAATCGAGAAATTAAAAAACAATCAAAATTTCTGATCTACATAGAAAAATATTTTTTTATTTAATTTTTACCATCAATTATGATCTAGGACTTTCAATCATTTATCTTTTTAAAATTAGTAAGCGATCAAGATTTAAGAAAAAAATCATAAAGAAAAATAATTATTAATCACTTTATCTATATATCTACATGTATGTAAATACCTCCGTGTCTTTCTTTTTACGTAAAATATAGAATATAGATGCTTAATGAATAAATATTGGTGTATCTATTTAACTCTCATTATTTCACATTATAATTTTTTTTTCTTATTTTCAATCACATAATCTTACATAAAATAATATTATATAGAAATCGAAAATTTTTTCTTAGTTTTTAATCACATTCTCCAAAATAATATTAAATAATGTGGGTAATACGGGACTTATTAAGCTATCAACATTTTAAGCCATATGACTTGTTTGATAGTGATTTTGAGAATTGATTTTTGACCGTTGGAGATAAAAGTGAGTCATACCCGTAAGAGAAGAAGTAAAAAATGACAGTTTGAATAGTGAAATAACCATCAAAATTTTGATTTTTCAGGATGAAAAAAATTGTTACCAAATATGTACTAAGTTTGTTTCCCATGTTTAGCAGATAGCAATGCCTTTTTTTGACCATTGGAAACTTGAAATTTTTACACAATCTGAGAGGCTAGTCAAAAAAAGGGCTTGGTGGGTGTCATTAACAGTCCAATTTCTTCTAAAATGGATAAATAAATGGCAAACAAACAGGAGCTAAATTTTATTCAAATCTCATCTTATCAACTAAGAAATAACAGTACTTGGCTATGGAAAAAGTGAAAAAATAAAAATAAAAAATTAATTCTATGAGGTCAACTGACCTCACATGACTACACCTAGGGTTCACTCCTGTGCACCAGTCATATAATTGTGATGTTCGTGGTTACCGAATGATAAACTGACTCGATAGTCCACTGGAATCATTTATTTTCCCAGCCAAATCAGTTGCCTTCGTGATAGATTATTTATATTCAAAACTCATAATTCATTTTTGTGTAGATTAAATCAATTTTTTAATAAAATTTGTTAAATTTGATTAAAACGTGTGATTAAAAATTTGTGGGTTCAATAAAATATGTAATTAAAATTAATTATTACTTTAACTTGAAATATTTTTCAACCTTTAATTGTTACTCGAGGAGCTTCAATGCCTTTTTTGTACACATATTGCTAAGTCCATGCATTTTCGATTTTTCTTTTTCTTTTTCTTTTTCCTTCTTTTTTTTTTTTTTGGGGTCTCCTGACGATGTTCCCTTCCGTTATACGAAGTGGGGAAAATTTTTCTAACTAGTCTACTTAATTTTTATACAAAAATAAAAAATTTCTCCCGCCTAAAATTTTATTAGTTACTTGTTTGATTAATTTTTGTTAAAATTTTTATCCACTTTTCAATCGGTCAATCTTGAATTTTAATTGCACATTTTATTGGACTCACAATATTTATCAATTTTACAACCTCAAATTTCATTAACTTTTATTTAAATTTGATCAAACTTTTGTTAAAAGTTTTGTCATAGAGCCCTTAATTGTAATTCAATCATGTAACATGACAGTAGTGTTTTTTTTTTTTTTTTCAATGA